CTAAGCTAACCTGCTTTGCTCTGAGCTTTAAATTTGGATTCCTTTTGCTTTTATACCAAACTCTCCTTTCTATGAGAAAACTTAAATTGAACTGGGAATAATTTCCATTTGGAGTATTTGTCTTTCTGAGCAGCACCTGTTGCAGGAGTCATTGTGTTAATGAATCACTGTTTCCTGACAGCGTTCACCTCTGCTTATTTACCACACACAGCAATGCTAGGGAGAAGACTTTGATCACAAAGACAATTCCAGCCAGATTTAAGTTTGCCTCCATTTAGAAATAGAGCTTATCACTTTAGGAGTACCTCTAGGTTGTTTTAAGTGTTTTTCAAGTCAACTCACACAGTTGACTAGTGCCTGAAGTTGCTTTGTGTTGGTTGTGGGCCATGTGTGTGTTAGCTTGTTAGAGCCCCCGCACACTTTAAGTCCAGAGGCGTAAAGTTTCGGAATATCTTGTGAATGTGGGAAGGCCAGGAACCTGCGAGGGCATTGATTTATCCACATTGGACTACAGTGTGACTCTTCCTCTCCTTCGGATGCTGGTGTTCGTCCCCATGTCATAACAGGTACGCATGCATACATGTGTCTGTCCCAGCGTGCCGAGCTTGCTCCCTTGGGTTCCTGACCGAGTGCACAGGGAGCCTCCTCCTCCCCAGCTGTGAGGAGCAGGGCTCTGACATGGCCTGTCCCTTTAGCTCACTCTGAACGTTTGACACGCCGAGCGCAGAGGTCAGCCTGACCTACTTTCCCCTAGCGGCCCTTCTGCTGAGCCGCAGCGCTCCTCAGCAGGGGGGGCAGCAAGGGCGGAGCTGCTTACGCCTCCACTGCTGTCCTGGTGTGTTAAATCACCGCCATTTGTTAGGAGACACGTTCCAGTGTGTGTGCGTGGTTTTTTAAGGTGTGTAGGAGGCATCCCACGTACATACACACATGAACACGCACTCAGGCCTGTGCTGAGGTTGGATATGAAGTGCTCTGTGGGGGTTGCAGGTAGATGCTGGGCAGCACTTGGGCAGGACCCCTGCAGTGAGCTCTGTCTGACTCACTTTGTGTACCACCCCTCACACCCTCTGACCTCTTCCACCTACTTCAATTCCCTCTGCACTGTACTGCACTTAGATCAACTTAGCCTGCTGGCTTAAAGCTAATACTTTGTTCCAAAACCGATTTTGATGGTATATCTAAGGAGGCTCTTCTTAATTGCTGACATATTGGTTATAATTAATAATAGCAGTAATCAGGCTTAATGTTTCCATTGCTCTCCCTCCTTCTCTGCAAATACAACAAGATTTATCAAATACAGCCACTGACGCTGCTGCCATCATACTTTTTCTTCCCCCTTTTGTTCTGGTTCATTTCTTCGCCTACAAATGACCCACAGCTTGTTAACTTCACATCACAGATGTGTCTAAAGCAGCAGAGAGAGTTTATCTGACATAATATGGGACATGGTGGGCACAGGGCCTGTCAGCAGGAGAGGAGATCAGGCAGAGTTCATTAAATAGTAAACTTCTAATGTAGCGGGGGGGGCCTTGGCTGCTTCACTGTATCAATGATTTAGGCCCTGCAGAAGGTTCTTAATGGATAGAGCCACCTCTCTGTGACACACACACACACACACACACACACACACACACACACACACACACACACACACACACACACACACACTCCTCTGACTGTGGAGGAAAAAGCCATAAAGTGTTTAAGTGTGTGTGGCATTGTATAGCTTGCATCACACACACACACACCCACACGCTCAGTTGTCCCTGTTGAACAAGTCTCTGGGTTTTTAAGTAGCAAAGGCTGGCTAAACTGAGAGCCCTGTATCTGTTTGTCGCCATCCACTATGCATGATCACATTCTACGTTCACAGTGTTTTATTCATATTGTAGAACTGTGACAAGGAGAGAGATAGCATGGCTGAAAGGACACAACCTGCACAATGGTGCTGTTACTGTAGCATGTGTAAAGAAAGCCTGGCCAAGTTCAGGATAAGAAAGAGGATCTATAAATGATCATTATGTGTACTACATCCACAAGCCCCTTAATCCCACAACCACCAGCTCACTATCATTCCTCCATTCTTTTCTGCAGGTGTTACTAAGTTAAGAAACATCTCTCAAGTCTTTGCGACTTAAGGATCTGATTCTACAGATTCGACTTTTCTACATTGTGGCTCGATTGCCTTCAGACCACAGTGACTTCTGATCGCAGTGCTAGCCGAAGTCTCTTCATATCTAGTTTGGAAAATCTGATAGATTATATATATTGTAGATTCAAACCATTGCATAAATATATTCTGGTAAGAGAGGCTGTAATGGTTCAGTGTTTTATATGACAACTATTTATTATTATTAATAATAATAATAATAATAATGATAATAATAATTTATACTTTGTTAACCCTGCGAGGGGAAATTCGGTTTTACACTCTGTTTAATGAACATGCTACACACACAGGCTGAAATACACACACATGCACCAACAGGATCCTATGCACATGCATTAATGGAGAGGGGTCAGAGTGAGGGGGCTGCCCACAGGGAGCGCTCCAGAGCAGTTTTGGGGTTAGGTGCCTTTTGCTCAAGGGCACCTCGGCAGTGCTCAGGAAGTGGACTGGCACCTCTCCAGCTACCAGACCAATTTCCGGACTTGGTCCGTGCCGGGACTTGAACTGGTGATCATCCGGTTCTACTGCCTAACATTAAGATTTACTGATTTGGTGTTTTATTTCATTTTTAATGAAATATATTTTTCACATTATTAGACATTCAAAGATGTCACCCTGAATTTTTACTATTAGGTTATTATTCAATCCAAAAAAGTAGCTTTTTTTTATTTCAAGTTCATTCTATTCAGGCTTTTTAAAATCTTTTTGCAAAGATGCAGAAAAACCTGCTGGTATGTGACTTGTAAGTCCGTGGCTTCAATTACCTTGTCTATTGTGTTTTACACTGTTGTCTTTTTCTGTAAGGAGTCAATTTCCTCCATTCAGTTATACAGAGGATACTCCACCCTAAATCTTTTGAGCATTGAACAATAAACCCTGCAGTCTTTAAGGGCAGAAACTAAATGCTATTTTGATAATGATTATCATGCATTTGTTTCATTTATTTTGGATGAAATTGTGACAGAACCTAATTATTCCAGCACATCTTTCTGTACAATCAAATGCATTGCCCACACTTTAAACACTTACTTTTGAGTTATCCAGATTCAGAATAGGCCATATTGTGAGTTGGACAAAACTGCTTTAGCTGTATATTTGAGCAGACAGATATACAGCAGAGAGAGGTGGATGAGTCTTTTTTCTAAAGTTCTACTGTACAAGACATATGACCTACACCCTGAAAACTTTGGGATGTTGTCCAAAACAATCATTTATTCAGACTTATATGCCCAGGAAATTTATATTCAATTTGATTGACCTTGAAATGAGAGGAGGGAGACGTCAACATTTTTGAATGGCGAATCTCTTAAAGAAACAAAAAAATATATTTTCACAAAGTATAGCTGCTTAAGAAATTATTAGAAATTAGATATAAGGAAATGTGAGTTTGCACTATGGCCGACATTGAGGCCAGGGAAGAGTATAGCCTTAACTGAGGTCAGTGACTGTATGCACAAGCGTTAGAGTGTCGTGTTTGGTAACATCACTGCACCACATTCTTGAACATCAACTGCAATAGGGAGCCAATGTCGTGAATAAGTTTCAGGGGATCCATTGTAACATAGATTCTTAGTGAAGGAGCAAACTGCAGCCTGTTTAGAACTGCTTTTCAAGCCTACGGGGATGCTCAATGTTTGATACTCAAAAGATAGATTTTGGGTTGGGTTTCACTTTCAGAAAATATTCCCTTCTGGCTTTAGAAGGGAATTATTTTGACTATGGCACCAGTTTCCCCCTCTATATTTTCTGCTGGAGAACAGTGTTCGACTTCATCTAGATTGCATTGGCATTTCAGAGTGATTTAACTGTCGAGATTGACAGCATTACAACGAGGCTGTCATTATCATCCCTCCTGTGGCATAATTGCCTATACTGTTGAACAAGCAGCTCCCATCTTTTGCACTTGGAGGCCTCTCTCTCTCTCCCTGTCTCTCTCTCTCTCTCTCTCTCTCTCTGTCAGTATCTCTCTGTCTCTGTCTCTCTCTCTCTCTGTCTCTGTCTCTCTCTCTCTCTCTCTCTCTCTCTCCCTCCTCTGTGCCTCTACTCATCTCCTGCATCCGTTAAACTCATCAGAGGATCCTACAGCTTTTCAGTGTGGCCATCTGTCAATACCACTCCATAAAGTGGAGTGGGGAAGCGTGTGCATCCATTGGCTCTTGTAAGCCCCTCAGCTGGCCTGCCTCCAGCTGGTTCTGAGGGCCTCGCAGTAGCTGGTTAACCCAGGCCTGGAGCATCGCTCTCCGGCCCTTGTGGCTACTTCAACCCACCCGCCTCCCCCAATCAGGCAGCTGGATGAACCTCCCTCTTCAGCGCTATGGAGTAGCTTGTAACACTGTAATGAGTTAACTTTCAGAATGATCTACATAATTTATTTCCTGCCCCCACAGGAGCTCGCTGAAGCATTAATTAATATCAGGCCCTGCTATCAGCATCCATCCCAGTGTGGGATTCCTTCTGGCTCCTATTTTTGGCACCAGAGGAATTCGATATATTTGTGTAACCAGACTGCAGTTTGTTGGACATCGATGAAAGATATTGCTTCCTTGTGGCTTTGTACACAGACTATGCTTGTGTATAAAGCGTGTGGCATGAAATCTGGACAGAGGTATAGGCCAGATCTAATGCCACTAAAACAAGCGGACCTTGATGAAAGAATCTGTGACTAAATCTAAACTATACAGTAAATGCCAACAAGTTGTTTGCCCTTGTTGCTGCTGGCAGTGATGTTTCTTCACACTCAAACACTTCAGACTTTGTGTAAACTGATTTCTGAAATGTGTTTTACCTCAACGCTCTTCTCTCTCTCTTTCTCTGTTTCCCCCTACAGAACTCAATAAGGCACAATCTGTCGTTGAACAAGTGTTTTCTCAAAGTGCCTCGCTCCAAAGATGACCCGGGAAAGGTGAGACTTTCAGTTACAAACAAGACACTTGTATGTAATCATGAAAAGAATAATAAGAGAAGAAAATGTTTAATTTCTCAGCTGGCAGGATATACAGTTTTGTTGGTGTTTATAATCTATCTCAGATGGAAAAATTTTACTTTTGAATGAGTGCCAGGACTCTGACGGTCTGGAAATGCATGGCATGATCGTAATCTACTATGAACCTTCCACCCCCACACAATTGTATTTTGAAATGTAAGGAGAGACTACTTATTTTTTGACCAGCACAGACAACAGATGTGGGTGAGGGAAGGCAAAAGTCAAAGACTGGTAGAGATGGGGCCATTACAGGGTAGAAGTCAGGTCATTTCCCACAATCCTAAGCCACTGAAGTAGTTTCTTAAGTTTATCCAAATGAGTAAAAAATATAGACCGGATTTCCTCTCCACTCTGCCGTCTCCATTTTTCTTCTCAGTATAAGAATCTGCAAGTTATACATGTTAATTTGACATTTGAATCTCAGTAGGACCACCTAGAATTGCCTATTCAGCTCGATTTCCTCCACAATCTGTAGCGACATCCACCTGATAAATAGCATCCACTGAGTACTTTATGAAGAGGGAACCTATGGGCCTATATTTAGTATGATGGTGTGCATAGGTCTAACCATATGTAGCCTAACCCAGATTTCATCCCGGCACTGTCGGAGCATACGCTACATATGCTTCAGGAACCACACAAATAATTACACATGCTTGTGTGCTCACAAACACGCACACGCACACACACACACACACCCCAACACATGCATCAAGAGTTACGCCTAGCAGTGTAGGGGATGGGGACTGAATGCTAATTTCATGTTTTGCTGTAATCCTCTGATATTGACACTCCTGGGAGCTGCTCCACTAAATACAAAATAATCTATTGCTGTATGGATCCCATTCCAAATGCATGGCCAACATGCTCGCATCCTTAATGTTTAATTTGGAATTTTCCTCACTCCCATCCCCCCCGAAGACAACTTCAAAGAGGCGCTAGCCGCTCTTGATATGTTGCATCAATATTGTAATGTGGCAGGAATATGAGAACTGCTGCTTGGATGAGATAGGAGAGTCATGTCGCTCTCTCTCTCTCTGAGATGGTATAAGAGATGACAGTCGGTATTGTACACACAAACATCGCTCGTCTACCTCAGGTAGAAATGCAGCCAGTGATGACTACCATCAATAATCTTCCTTTTTAATTGGTCTTACTCTCACACTGGACTTCCAGTAAGACCAGTGTTCATGTTTTGTGCGTCCTTTCTATATTTACACACAAAAGGGGAACATAATTTACGTTGATGTATGTAAATAAGCAGCATCATTTATGAGCTGATGGCTTCTCTGTTATCAGGATCTCTCTCTTTTTTTGCAAAGATCCTAGAGCCGCCTTTGTTTTATGGCTTCAAAACATGCTGTGGCGTTGCATTGTTTTTGCCCTAGACTCCATGGACTCCGCTTGGGTTTGCTACAGTATTTTTCAGTATATTTGTGAATAATTTAATGACTCTTTATATGTTTTCCTTTTTTTCCTTCAACTCTCTGAGGGTGGGTGCAGGGAAATACAGAAACTACCCTCCCATGAGGGTTAACTTAATGTGCCCCCCCCCCCCAATTAAAAGGAACACCACTAAGACTGGCTTTGTTTCTGTGACTCCTCATTTTGAAACATCTGCAATTTGAAACCCTGCAATTAACCCCAGCATATCATCACAGCGATGGATCACATAGAGATAATTTTTTTCTCACCTTTCATACATTCTTCAATGAAGCTTTCTGTAGAAAACATGCGCTGTGTAATGAGGTTTCTGCTACATTTTTTGTTGCCAACATCGATACAAGATGTTTCTTCCTCTTTGGTTGATTGTGCTATGAATTATTCCCTAAGTCTCTGAGGAAATGTTAATTGACCCCAAAGCCTCACACATATTAAAACTTGTAATTTTTACCCCTGACAAATATAGGCCAACCCTGGCTTTTCGTTTTAACAACTGCAGCAGTTGTGTTTGTGAGCTGTGAAAATAAGAGATTTTCTTGCTTTTACAAGAACAAACCATTGTGTAGGCAGTGGTATTTCTATAGTTACTTGAGATACAGCTTGTTCTATGGCCTCTCCTGTTGTTCAGAGAATTTTGTGGAAATAACAATTATTTGCCTTGCTTAGGAAGTAATTTTAAAGGTCCTGATCTCACTTTCTCTCGACAATTGAGATTTTATCGAGGGCCATATGAAATATTAAAAATAAATTCCAAATTCTCAGGGCCTTAGGGTAAAAATCTGTACTGTAAGCTGTGTTCCTGTTGGTTTCGAAGAGGAACACGGTGAAAAATAAATTAAACAAGGCCGAATGCAAAGATAAATAATGCAGACTGGTTGTGGAATTGCTAGCTGCAGCCCCAGAGCCAGCCCCAACTGTTCACTTCTTGATTAGCCCCGCTCAGACCTTAGAAGAAAGCAATGCGGCAGGGCTAGCTCGCCTCGATTCCTGAGCTGAGACTGTGGAGCCTTCATCCTTGGCAACAGCGGTCTGACTCAGTACCTGAGGCTGGGGAAGTACTGCTTCAGGAAAGGCTTAGCATTTCACCACCACCAACTGCCCTCAACAGCCTCTCATTGAGGAGCAGCCGCAGAGGAGGAAAAGCCGAGCCTTTCCTACTAACAAAGCCCACCCACACGCCGCACAAACTCACAGCTATCAACTCAAATACAAGCTGATAGAACAGACTGTAGCAGAGCAGACGAGGCCTCCGATTTTTAAACAATGTTTTAGTGCCAAAAAGAGCCCTGGTGCTTTTTGTCCTGTCATGTCAGAGAGGAAATGTCTGTTTGTCGTGGGGTTGTCACAGGAAAAAAAGCAATCTTTTATGTTTAATCAGCTCACAGGTGTTTGTTCTGTCTGCAGGGCTCTTACTGGGCCATCGACACAAACCCAAAGGAGGACTCCTTGCCTACACGGCCAAAGAAGAGGCCGCGGTCTGGAGAGCGGGTGAGTGTGAGGAGGAGAGACAATTGTGCAAAGAAAACACATTTCTCTACATATGCTGTTTTTTATCAAAGCTTCTGCCTCCATCTCTACTTGGTTCAGGATTTATTTGTGTCTCTGTGTCTGCCTCAGTTTTCTTTTACTTTTGCTTTCCTTTCTCTCCCACTTTCTCCAATTTGCACACATGCAAACTAAAACACACACACACACGCAGACTCAGTAGGAGTCTCATGTCCAGTCTTTATGTAACTGCCTCTCCATGCTGCTTTGCTAGCCTGTCATGAAGTGGGGTCCTTATTAATAAACTATGCCCCAGGCAGCCATTACATACATTACATTCTGCACTCACTTTTTTTAACAAACATCAATTAATGTAGAGCTGTGCACCGGCTATTCTGAGGGGGAGCTTTTGTCTTTAATTATTGATGAGTTTCATCCAGCGTTATGTACAGCTGTAGGTTTAAGTGAGGCGCTCAGATTGACCTGGCCCTGGGGCATCCCGACACATCAGGCTCTTGTCTTCCTTTTCCCCACATTGTGGATGACCAGAGGCTACGATAAAAGGAGGATTCTTTCCTCACACGCTAGTACACGCCATTGTCTCTAACACACACATACACAAGCGCAGAGACAACTAAAACTTAACATGCTGTTGACGTAGTCGCCCTACAGCAGCGAAATACTATCACATCCATTCAACCAACCGTGTCTCTTTGCTGCCATGAGATTTTATATACAACAAATGCAAAGGTACAGGAAGAGTGCATTATTTTTTATTATGCAGCTCTGCAAGAGTTTCAGCTAAATCTCTCCTGATGCAGTTCCGTTCATTTGAGCATGACACAAAAGAACGCACCCAGTGAGGAGTGTGTTTTCTGTAAGACTCGTGCGCTGAGCCAACCCCTCCTCCTCCTCCCCCTCTAGACACTGTCTGCCTACAGGCATTCCATTAAGAGTCTCAGACATTGAAAGTGAGAGTTTGTGAAATCTCATTTATGTTTATCATGAATTAAAAATGGTATTGTTGGCAGCCAATCCTCTTACAGTAAGCAGTTTTGGGAGACAGGCATGCCAGAGTTATCTCTCTCAACAGTGCGCCTATACACCAAGACAAGGGCATGTGCTTTTGTGTGTGTGTGTGTGTGTGTGTGTGTGTGTGTGTGTGTTTGTGAGTATGCACTGTATGTTTGGGTAGAAGGTGAGGATTGGGGATGGGGGCTGTCTACATCTTCTCAGAAAGCACAGTTCAAAGGTGACCTAAATAAAGGTGTTACTCTGTCATATGAATATAGTTCTATTTTTTAAGAGGTACGTATTTGGTCTGAGCAGAAGATTTGTCACAAACATAATGCAGGTATTTCTTTGCAACCTGCAGTGGGATCTCATGTGTTTAATAATTGGATGGTGTTGAATTATTATTTTTTTGTCTGCCTCCACACCCCGCCCCCAACCCCCACAGGCTTCTACGCCGTACAGCCTGGAGTCTGAGTCTTTGGGGATGGAGTGTATGATCTCTGGAAGTGCCTCTCCAACGCTGGCAATCAACACTGTGACTAACAAGGTACTACAACCAGCCATCCAGCCTCCAGCTCCAACACACACCTGGCTACACGGCTGCACCCTGACCCCACCCACTTCTCCAACCACCTACAGCACTATTCCCCACAGAGAGAGGAGCACTCTAGTGGAGGGGAGATACACATACACACATCAACACACTCACAAAAGCACATGCGCATATGCCTAAAGCTTCTCTGCAATGCAACCCACACCAAAATACACAACTCTCTGCACTGCAGCACCTTTTTCCTCTACAAAAACAGGCAGCAGGCTCTTGTTATCACCAGCACGGAAACATGATGCCCACACTGATACTTAGGGCTCAGCAACCTGATAGACCTTACACATTCCCTTGCAGACTTGCAATACAATACAGAGCACGCTGTATAGCCTTTCTGTATTCGCACCTGAAGTTGAGGTTGACGCCCAGAGTCGCGTTTCTCAGGCTGTGACCACCTTAAGCATCCAAACTACAGATGACCAACCCCTGCTGCTTGTTCTGTCTGCTCTCTGTAGCCATTTTATTTATTTATTTTTTAAATATGTGTTAAAGCCTGGAAACACTTGTACATCACAAAGCAAAGCTGCAGGGATTGCTAGCTGTTAGCTGTGAGTGTGTGTCGCTCACTCTGAAATTTAAATAGGCTTTTTAACCTTAAGCTCTCATCCTCTGAGCCCAGTGGGGGCAGCTCTCAGGTGTACTTTTAAAAAGCCTACAAGAGTGGCTTATTCATTTGCTGCAAGCGTTACAAAAAAAGGGTTTAATGTGAACAGGGGTGTTCAAAGTGAAGAGGAGTTAGCGTGTGTGTATGTGTGTGACGAGAGCATGAAAGTCTGTGCATATGTCGGGTGTGTTCTTACTTGTGTGTACATGCATGTAGAGTATGTTACAGAGTGTTTCAGCTTGTTTTGACGAATGTGTCAGTGGCGAGTAGCTTAAGGCTGCTTCCATGGAGAACATGTCGTTTTTCATGTTGCTGCAGCCGACAGATTCATGGGCCTAAGTGTGGAGAAAGATGACCCTTTTTCCTCTCTGATTGCTACAAACAAGCACTTGCCGCATCACCAGTCTCCTCCAGCAGTGACAGCATAATGAGGCCCTAATGTAAAGAGCTGACAGTTTAGAGTTTGGACTTCTGCCATCAAATACCTCCAGTCAGATAAGTCAGAATAGCAACTTGCAGAAAACATTAAAACAGCACACAAACATGCCAACTGTGTGATACCATGACGAGATGACAGGAGGTTTTGATTCGTTTTGTTCACCTGATTGTCACAAAAAGTGTTACAGAAGACAGAGTTTAATTGAAACAGATCTGAGGCCCTAACTCCTTTGAGAGAGCTTGTTTCTCACTGTCTTACACTGTAAACACAGGACAGGCCACGCCTCTTTCGGCGCAGTGTGCCAAGCCACAGGAATTCCCTCTATGTTTTTTTCTCCCTCCTTTTCTATTCCAGTCTCTCTCCCTCATTCCCGCCTTCTCACATAGACCAATGGGAGACGCTGGCAAGACGACTACTGAACCAGCAAGAATCTCTTTTTCTCTCTCTCCTGTCAGACATTCCTCACAAGATTGTCCTTCCCAGCTCTTCTTCTTATGCCTTTCTCGCAGACTCAGAACCCCCCCCCCCCCTCCCTGCACCCTAAGGTTATGTTCGTAGACAGCCCTAAACATTGGCAAGAATGTGATGAAGACTTGGCACTGAAGTGTGATGATGAAGGGAAAGAGAGGATTGTTGGAAGTGTGTTTGCTGATAAATAGTCTGGCCCTTTTTTTCCATCCTCTTCTCCCCGATTCTCCCTCCGCCTCTCCCTTACTATTCACTCCTCATGCAGGGATTGTGCTGAACACTAGCTGGCATTGTTGGAGACACCTGGCCAATCTTGCTTTGATTTCATAATCCATGTCTCATGCTCCAGATTAGGCCTCCGTGTAAAAGACACCTCTGGCTTTCTACTTAATTCAATGCTAATAATAGAACTCAGCCTGCTAGCAAACACTGTACACAGTATTTATTGTGAAGCTGCGCCTGCCTGTATAAGCATGCCTGCCTCTGTCTGTGGCTTTGTTGATGTGTGTGTGTTAGCCTACCTTTTGCCCATCTATAGGGTGTGTATGTATTTCTACATGTATGGGTTAGAAGGGACTGGATGAATGTCTGTGACAGCGCAGGCTTGAGTGGGCGTCTTCACTGAGGGTTCTCGAGGGCTGGCGTAAACCACACAGCAGCAAGGTTTTCAAATCATCACACTTTACGGGTGAGGCGAGTAAAAATAGATTGTGGTGAGAGATTTAGGCTTAAAGCCTGTTTTATGACTTCATTACACATAACAGTTATATTTCTGTGGCATGCTGCTTTTGATTAGCATTGTAGCGCTGATTCGGTAGTTGTGCTTAAGCCTTCAGTCTTAGCTGCTCATTGAGTTCCCCTTCATGCTAATGAACACTAGAGCCAAGCCTGCACTGAGTGGAAGAAGGCTAGAGTTGCCTAATGAGCTTCTCTTAGAACCCTTCTATTCTACTCTTCCTCTTCCCTCTCGCTTGTACAATGTGTTGTTGCCTGGATTCAGCACGAGTGCTCTGTTTTTGAATTTCTATCTCATTCCAGCAGCTCAGGAGCCAAGCTCCATATTAAAAGCTTAATATGATCGGACGCTCTCTCTCTGCATGTGTGCTTCCTGGATTCGTACCAGCATGTTAGTCAGCCGGCCAATCAGCCAGGGCAGAGAAGGCAGTTAGGGCTGCCTTGGTTTCCTTGCCTCCTTGCGGCCTCTGTGGAAGCTTGCAGCGCTTCAACAGAGAGACAAGAGGCTTCAGTCTGCCTCTGCTCAGAGAGAGGCAGGGTGCTGGGCAGGGCCCGACCAATTTGCCCGCCTGAAGGCTGCTGCCACTGCTGTCTCATTGTGCTGAGCACAGAGCCCGCTCTGTTCCACTCACAGTGATGAGCAGAAGCCACCATGCTGTACTCAGTCATGGACAGACACACACAGACACAAGCACTCACACCAGTCTCAGAATGCCATGCTCTCTTCCACTCTGACACCATCAGTGCATTACTGCCATTCCTCAATCACAATATATAACTCAACACATGGGCTATTCTCTGTGGGTATCATTAATTTAATTATCTGCATCGTTCTTTTTACTATAAGCTTAATTGTCTGACGCCGCACTTTATTCGGGAAGGGTGGGAAGACTTAACCTTGTGAGACGATAATTAAGATTGTCGTCCTGAAGTGCTTCGGCTAGTTTTGCTGCTATATTGAAAGGTCAGTGTCTGGGATGCACTGAAATCCTTTGTTAGCTGTCCCAAATGGGTTTGCGCTTGGTGAGCAGATGTGGCTGACATAGCCAGTAGTGTGACCTTTAGTGATGGGAATGTCTCAGCTGTCTCCAGACCCCTTTACAAGTTCAGCTGGGACCCCTTAGAGACTGCGGTGAATGAGGAGTAGCACCTTGAATCACCCACACGTTCTAAATCAAGTGAAAAGAAAGTGCTGTGCATTTATGTCATTTTAATGTATGCAAAACACACACACACACACACACACACACACACACACATACACATGCACACACGCACATGCATGCTCGGGCTTTACATTTCAAAACTGTAGTCAAAAAAATATATTTTATAACTTCACACCATTATGATTCATACCAATGATGCTAACCTGCATTACCTTGTGTGTGTGTGTGTGTGTGTGTGTGTGTGTGTGTGTGTGTTAAGTGTGTGTGCGTGCATTTAAGATAGAGCATAAGCTAATGTACATTTCTGTGTTCCAGGTGGCGTTATACAACACAGACCAGGAGGGTAGTGATAGTCCAAGAAGCAGCCTTAACAACAGCCTGTCCGATCAGAGTCTGGCTTCCGTCAATCTCAACAGTGTGGGCAGTGTGCACAGCTATACAGGGGTAAGAACAAGCTCATAGAGACATCACTCTGATGGGATACGTTTTAAGGCTCAGACTATGTCAATTTCCGGTTGAATGTAAAAACCTACCCAGACATAATTTAAATACATTCATTTTCCACAAGCAAAAACAATTTGGGGTACCCAGGTGGTCTATGGGTTGAAATTTTGACTGTGAAATGCAATGTTCCCAGTTTTTAGTTTTGCTGTCGACATGTGTTGCCCGTCATACATCATTTCTCTGTTTACCTCGATTTTATGGAGAATGCAAGAGTTTTGGCTGCAACTTGTCAAATATCAAAGCTTTCTAACACCCATTTGGCTTTGTGTGAGATGCTAAAGATGTGCAACAAACTTTTGTATTTATCAAGCTAGCTCTGTTGCGTGTAACACAAACATGGTAACCAACATCTTGGTACGTTAGAACAATAAAGCAAGTCGGAGGAGAACGCTCAAGGATGATAAGCTCTAGGAGCAGATATTTGATTTATCTGAAAAAAAAAAACCAGAAAGACGGTCCTAAATTCTGTTTTTCGTCTCTATTTGATCAGAACTGATGGCATGTTTATCCTGAATGGTTCAGGTTTTTTACTTATTGACAGACAGACTTCAAGACCCATCAAGATAAAATGTAATGTTGACCCAGTCAAACCGTAGTCGGTGAATGGTCCTGATGTGAACCTGTGAAGCCTTCTTTTTTTGATATGCACACTTCGATCTAGATAAAGCCCTGGTACACATACAGGACAAGTCAAGTCCTCTGTTGCCTCCCTGAAATAAACAGTTCACTGTATACTTGCGGAAGGTCACTTAAAGGGTTAAAAAATAGAGCAGGATACTGGTTGTCAGATTGCAACTGATGAAAGCCTCTCAGCTGAATAATTTTAACAGGATATTTGTATAAATTTGGTGGTGATGATGATCTTTTTTTAGCAGGAGCTGCTAAAGCCAAATTATAAATTATCATTTTATTCAAAATGTTCAAGCTGTAGGGAAGCCCCGGTAACTAATGAATGGAAAAGAAACACCGCAGGACTTAGAAAGTGTACTGTGTACCATATTTCATCTGATCAGAAAGCCCCAGGAGAGTTTCTTTTGAGGAGCCAGCCGTACCCAGCAATAGACCGCAGTTCAGGGTGGACATGCGCTGGAATAAAACATCAGGAAGGGGGTTAAGGGAAACAGAGAAAAATGTGCACGCTCCTGGAAGCCAGACAAAGAAAAGCGCTTCTTCTGATGTCCTCCCACCAGAGATGCCCCCTCTTTGGTGTGGTCCTCCCGCATCCTCGAGTGCTCCCTGCTTCAGGCTCTGGGCATCGATCGGCTCTGCCTGATGGATGTGCTCTCTCTCTCTCTCTCTCTCTCTTTCTCTCTCTCTCTTTCTCTCGCAGCCGAAGCAGCAGCTCACAGTAAACACTCTGGCTTTATTATCACCTCCTCACTCTTACCCAAGCCAGACTGTGAGCCATGCTCTTCAGCAGCCTGCCCACATCTTGTAAGAGGAAAATGCAAAGATCAAAAATTGGACGTGGCCTCTCTTGTAATGCTAGCCCACAGTGGACACAGGTCGGATTCTGCTTTGAGAAATAGCAATGGGTTTTGCATCGCTGCCCTTGCTGTGATGAATCTTGTAGACAAACTTCTTGCTGGAGGGAACACTGCTCTCTGTCTCACACCCAGGGGCAGTGCATAACATCGACTGCCCACACAAATACATGGATAAAACGGCTGCTTATTTGTACAAGCTATTGGTATTGATTTTGTTTTAAATACATTTTGCCTGGCCACCGGAGTATTGGGTTTGTGTCCATTCCATTTGGTCTCTTAATGCTATGTGAACCAAGGCATTGACTGCTGACCTACATTACTGCAGTCTGTCTAATTGCTCTATACATGTTGTGTGAGTGGCACATATTTAGATGGATCTCCTCAAAGAATTGAACCTGAAATTCCTCAGAGATTAAACATTACACATGATCTCATTTTGCTTCTGTGAGTCTTAAACTTTCTTCATCTCCTCATCTCCACAGGTGACCAGTCACCCAGAGCCCGTGTCCCAGCCCATGAGCCTCCAGCAGCCGCCCCAGTCCCAGTACAACATGCCGGACAGGGATAAGCAGCTCCTGTTCTCTGAATTTGAAGATCTCAGTGCCTCCTTTCGCAGCCTTTATAAGTCTGTTTTTGAGCAGTCCTTCAGTCAGCAAGGTGAGCGGCCACTTGGGAGCATAAAGTGGAAACCCCGAAAGAGAGCCTAGGTCTCATTCATCATCAACAATTTTCCTTATGTTGGTTTGTCTTAACAGCTGAGCTTAAAGAGAGTCATTTAGAGCTAATAATGGAGCAATGGGCAGGTATTCAACAGGTTCATCTCTACTAATAGAGTCTTTGTCCAGAGCAAGAGGGAAAAGTATTTCATTCTAAGTTCAAAGTAAGAGTCGAGAGTTCATGGATCAAATATTTAAAAGACAGTATTTCTCTCTGCATTTATTATATTTATTGTTAATTAGAATAAATACAGCATTGTTCTTGCTTCATATTTTTCAGATTACATAAAAGATGTCTGAGTCTTGTCATGTTTGTAATGTTTTGTAGGCCATATTTCATCAGAGGAGTTGAAGAGGTAACAGACAGAAGAAAAAAAAGTCCTCAGTAAATCTGTTGGATTTGAGGTTCATTTGTCATAATGATGTGGAGTTTATATGATATAATACATTGCTGTGGATCGAGCACAGCTCTTTCCAAAAGCCTGTGATTCCCTGCAGAACAAAATGCATTTTTGCTTGTAATCTGATTGACTGATAAACAAAGAGCACTTGACAAGCGGGTTATGAGTAGAGTAGACTGAGCTTTCTCTGTATAACCTACTTTCCTAAATCAAATGCATTTCATGCTAATGTTTTCATAGACTTTCTCTCCTTTAATCTATCATCTACGTTTCATTAGTTGAAAGTTGTTACCTTTTTTTATGCGCATAAAAGTGAAATCTCTTAGTCAGACAAGCTCTAGCAATTAAAAAGCGTAAATAATCGAGCTAGAGGATTTCACACTCTGCCGCTGTAGACAGTGAGCTAATTCACTGGCTTTGATAATAGGTAATGAGCTCGCATTATTATTCTGGTGTGGCGTTAATTGCTTTCTGTATTTCCCTGGTTGGACAATGGGCTTTCTGCGCCGATAAGAGATGCACCTTTGTCACCCCTGCAGTGAGTGTTACGTGCCGATTGTGGAGGTGCGGGGCTGGAGTCTGCTCTAAAAGCACTCCAGCGAAATAGGTTTACTGTGCCAAAGCTGTGAAGGACAGGGCCTCTTAAGACCACTCCCTGCCACTCAGAAGATTGCAGTTGTGTGTGCAGATGTTCATGCCCCAGTCGTGTCTGTTAAAAAGCCGAGCTACAGCACAATGAATTTGTCAAAGACGATCTAGAGCTGTGTCACTGGAGGAGAGAGGAGAAGCAACGGCAGCTCTGGCTCCTGAACCTCAGAGACGCAACTAATGCTGAGTCATTCCTCGGTACGACAAAATGGCAGCTGGTCTATCTCAAGTGTAAAAGTACTTCAACACAGATCCCTTTATTGTCAGATGTTAAGATGCAATATCTTAAGCAGTTTTTAAATGTGAAGATCCTGACTGGCTGTTTTTCTGTGTAGTGCATCACACCTTTACACTGCATGCCTGAACCATGCGAGTGACACTTAAGTTTGAATTAGGATGCTCCTTTCACCAGCAAGTGCGTAAATCAGAGGCTTTTTTATGTTTAGATTCTTTGATTCCTAGGTGACACCTGTAAGCCTTTTTTTTTTTCAAAACCCCAAAAATACATTTAATGGACAATGATTCTAGCACAACTATATTTTATATGTACATATATACAGTTGTATTTTTATATTTGACCAGAATTTGTAATTGCTGCAGGACAGGATTGCTGCCAACGAAGTTTTGTTGTGTTCTTTTATACAATGATATTAAAATACCTATTCATCCTATCCTATGTTTTTCAGCATAATAACTTCCTTTGTTTCTCAGGGCTGATGGGCATCCCGGCAGATTCCTCCCAGCAGACACACACCTCCTGCTCCTATCAGCACTCTCCCAGTGGCGCCATCAGCACTCAGAACAGCATGTCAAACAACCAACCCAACAACCACCCCAACAGCCACTCCGCCAACAGTGGCCAGGTGCCCCTGTCCCACCCCGGCCACGTCTCGCCCCACGCACAGCACCTCCCGCAGCATGGCGTCCCCCACAGCCAACACAACCAACACAGCCAACACAACCAACACGGCCAGCACAGCCAACACAGTCAACATGCACAGCACCCCCAGCATGCTGCGCACTCCCAGCACGGGCAGCACCCTTCGCAGCACCCATCCCACGGCCAGCACCCGCAGCAGCACACGCCACACCCCTCCCAACACACTCAGCACAGCCAGCACCCACAGCAACACGGACAGCAGCATCAGAGCCTCTCCCACCAGCCCCATCCTACCCAGCAACAGATGGCCTGCAACACAGGTAAGACCCTCTGTGTGTCATTGTCTGCCTCTGAACCCCGGTTCTGTGGTGTTCTCTCATCATCCTGTTCATCACAGACGCACATCAACAAAGGAATAAACAATGTACTCACAAGTCAACATCATTCTGTCTAAATCCTCATTTTATAAGTCACAGAGCTCGAAGAAATTATTAGGAATGTTTGTCAGTAAATTATCATCGGGTTTATGTTTTGTGCTGAGGTGAGAACAAAGCAATGCTGCATCCAGCGGCTTCTGCTGCTCTTAAAGAGTCGACTGGCTCCTCCTAGTGGCTATAGCACATAACTGTTTGAGAGCCTGACAAACGGTTTTATTTGGTGTATCCTTTTCACTCATTTGCATGCACGGCTATAAAAATGTGACTATATTAAAATGCTCATCTGGCTTCATTATCCAACCTACATTAATCACTGAAGCAGTTACTGTGCAGTTGTCCACGAATGATGTAATTAGGACTAAATCTGTATTTGTCCCAGGAGTAAACTTGCTATTGGAATAAAAATGACCTGTATCCTTCAAATCTGTCATCCTGTAATGTTACAGGAAGTATCCTGTGTGTATGTGTTGCAGGTTTACTGTCTGACTGGTACCCAAATCTGGATGCGCTGAAAGAAAGCTGTCGCATTGCTAGCAGCTATAACTGGGCTGATGTCGACCTTTCACCTTTCCAAGGTGCGGTTTGGACACCACAAATAGACCATATTGCATTTACAAATACAAAGTATAATTATTGAATTGTTTAGTTTATTTGACCAGGATTATGATTTCTCTGGATAACAGAGGAAACAGACAGTTATAGAGCAGATAGTACAGTACTGCCCCAGCTTCTGATTGAGTGCTGAAGTGTTGACACTGTGGATTTGATTATGAGTTTAATTAAACTGAGCTCTTCAATTAAATAACATTGCCTTCTGGTTTAATTACCAAAACAACAAGCTCAGCAGGTCAGTTTATCCAATTACAGTCCAGGATTGCAAGGTACGATGTTTTTTAAATATCACCCACTGAAGGTTACTGACATAATGAATATATATTGCAACTAGTTTTTGCTTCATGCTTGTGAAATAGCTTCTCATAAACCAAATTAATTTCCTTTGGACAGTCGGCTGGTGCAGTTTCATACATTTCATTGTCACCAAAGGCATTTTAATACATGCAGATACAGTCCAACTTTGACAGTAGCTCTTGTTGTTCTGTTAATAATTTTGTGTTTTATGTTTCTAAGGATTAAGGGACAGTATGAGACAAGCCGAGTTGAACAATTGGTCCCTGGAACCCACTCAGATTGCAGACCTCTGCTCGTCCATCAACCAGTTTTTTGCCCGCACCGGTGTAATCCAGCCACAGGGGGCAGTGCAGCCCACTGTTTGTCATGGCTCCATGCACCCCAACAAACCAAGCCAGCACCACAACACAGGTTAAACACACACTTCTTACCCCTGCTCACTCATTTACTAACTCATTTATATAACATGTTGTTATCTTTACTTTGTAATTCTTGGCTTGTGCAGCTAAGCCTGATACAGCAATATGTAGGTCATCATGTAGAAACAGCAGTTGTGTCTCCTTCTCTCATGAAGGGGGGAAATAATCTACAATATATCAATTAACTTTTTAAAATCAAGCATTTACATTTGACACTTTAATCTATTTACTGGAAAAAGATCATGTCTAGAATATAAAACTGAATCAAGCTGCAAAGTCACTATAATTTAATTTATACTTTATTAATAACGCGAGGGGAAATTCAGTTTTACAATCTGTTTAATGAACATGCTACACAAACAGGCCGAAATACACACACATGCACAAACAGGATCCTATGGACATGCACTAATGGAGAGGGGTCAGAGTGAGGGGGCTGCCCACAGCGAGCGCTCCAGAGCAGTTTTGGGGTTAGGTGCCTTTTGCTCAAGGGCACCTCGGCAGTGCTCAGGAAGTGGACTGGCACCTCTCCAGTCGGTTGTGTTGGAGCCGGCGACCCTCCAATTCCCAACCCAAGTCCCTACAGACTGAGCTACTGCCGCCCCAATAATGCCTTAATGCTTATTTGTACAGAATTACTTGATAATCCATCTGTATTTGTAAAGCACCAATTCATAACAAATGTTTTCTTAAGACACTTTAGGAAAAGAGTGAGTCAAGAGCGCACTCTTTGTTATATATAATTTACAGGCACATTTATCAAGTAACTTTGGTGAGGACAACCTTCCCTGTTAGGTAGAAACCTCGAGCAGAACCAGACTCATGTTGTACAGCCGTGTGCTGTGACATTGCTGTGAGTTCAAAGACCTGAGGCTGCTCTCCCTGTATGCCAATGAGTCATATCTTTTTGGTTTGTGACCTATTAAAGCAAAAGCAACAAAAAAAAGGCTACTTCCTGCCCCTCATTACCAGCTGTATGTCATTTATGACAGGTTACAAAACATATACATTCATTTTTCTAAATTCAGTTGCATAATTTGTAGTGGCCTGACACTGTGATAATAATCAGTGTTTCACAGTAAAGAATAAAAACGGAAAGCCGCATCTTGTGAAGCAAGAGTCAGACGATGAGACTTATCTCTGCTGACATTTACCAGCATTGAAACATTTTCAGATGCAAATATCAAACATTTTTAAACAGTGTTATTTTAATTTTCTTATCAGGAAATCTCTACATGGACTCCAGACAGAGTCTATCCTTGATGGGTCCTCCAGGATACCCCCACATGTCCCCCATGAGCACCGCAGGATCCACGATGACAGGTTACAAGAAGCTATAGTGGAAAAAAAGGACTGAAATGCTTCCATCTTAAAAATGAATGTTTTTTATTAACGATAACGTGCTCTTTCTCCAGGACACCATGCACAGATGAACCAGCAGCACATGATACCTACCAGAAACTTCCAGATGCATCGCATGCAAGCTGATGACATTCAGGATGACTTTGATTGGGACTCCATCGTCTAACCCCAGACCTCCTTCTGCAAACAGAAAAGGGAGTGAGGAGAGGAGGTGGAAGCCAGAGGGAGCCAGGCGGAGCAACAGGAGGGGAGGAGGAGTGCGCTGTTGGTGGGATGCAGAAGAACATTGACAAGCTTTGTTGGACAAAGACAGACTTCAGAGTCCTGACATTTTTACAAAAGCAAAACATTACTAGAAAACGTTAGTTTGAAGACAATCATATTTAGTCGGACATGTAAAAGTGATCGCTTATGTACTTGTCTAGAGACAAGTAAACACATTCACGTCTAAACCACACGCTCCTCAGCTCCTCAGATGGCCCTCTCCCTCTCCCGTCCCTCGCCAGCAGCCTTCCAAAGTCCGAACCCCTCTCCCCCCTCTCCCCCTGCTCCGTAACTGTTCTGTGATTTGAGCGACGTGTTCAGCTTGTAATTCTTCTCGTGTTGACATCGGCCTCAGCTGCCTCTTGGATGAGTTTTTTCTCTCTTAAAAAAAAAAAAACTTATTTGGTTTTGATTTTCATTTGAAAGAAACACAGGCCATCTCTGTGAGTAACGTGATGGTGCTCGTTTGACGCTTTTGGGAGAAAACCGGTCTCGCTGTGGCTGCATGGGTGGTGAAGTTGTGTTTACAATAAGTGAGATTTTGAACAGGGTGTTAAATGATAAAGGCTTGATATTAAACAAACCAAGAGAGAGGGAGATCACATAAGGTATCATGATCTGTTCTCCTACACAACCAATGTGATCAGGCCCACGGCAACAGACAAGTTATGGGAATACAAGAACTTTTTCAAATGTCTTTCTTTTTGTTTCTGTGTCTCAAGCACTTCACGAGTGGATGAGTGTGAACGAAAGTGAAGAAAAGAAAGCAGGAACATTTTCTGTCTTTTATTCAACCCAAAGTAACCTGAGGTTTAAGTTCTCTGAGTGCATTGTTTTAGTTTAGTATAAATCTATCAGTTTTTAAGCTTTATTCAATCAAAAGATGTAACAGTAAGTGCTTACCAGATTCAAATTTTGAGCGAAATTGAAGGGGGAAGTTCATCAGTTTTTGATAAGTAACTTGTTGATCATTGAATCATTCAACACCAAAACCGAAAAAACTGACTGATACATCAGTGAGGCCAGTGTTGTCAGCTAGTCCCAGTTTATCCCAACTAGGGCTGTCAACTAGTTAATCACAAACCGCTGTGTTGTCCCTTTAAGCGCATCATGGATAAACCGCCGCAAAAAAAAGAAAAGAAGAACAACACTGCTGCATCTTTAAATGGGTCAAAAGTAACATCCACCTCATGACATCAAACATTTCACTTGTATACCTTTACTTTTTGCTGTTTTCATTCACTTTTTGATCTGTAACGAGTTCCATTTTCTGAAGTTAGGTTAATGCTGTAACCTTCAATCTACCAGAAGGTCCTTATTTTATTTCAAAATAAAAGCTGGGTTGAATTCAGTCAGCAAGTAAAGTACTCTCAGCTTAAGACAGTACAACTATTGAAAATAAAAGCCAAACTATTTTCATTTTGAAATGCGAATGCAGATATGCAATTCAAATTTCAATTGCTCACGATAAAGTATTGAACTTTTGCAAATAATCATGATTACATTTTGAAAAATCTTTTGACAGCCCTATCCCCAACACATCTGTAATGTCAAATATGTCAGGCAATACTCTTCAAAGATATCAATAATATGTTCAAGATGATAAAATTGTGCCTCCACTTTAGTTTGTCAAAAAGAAAACTACATTTAAAAAAAACAATTTAACAAGGTTTTGACAAAGTTTGTTTTCTAAAAAACAACAACAAAAAACATGCAGACCAATTTGTCTGAATGTGACCTTTTAAACTTTTAGACATCATTATTCAAATCTTTCCTCATTCAAATTCTGTATGGGCTCTGGCAAACAAAACATGTGTCATACTTCTCAAATCAGCAGGTTGTGTTTTTATTGAATATATAAATATAAATATAAAGCTAAAGACAAAAAGGATGGCTTAGCTTAGAGACTGAAAGACTGAAAATAGTCTTGCACTGTTTCTGCCCACCATCCCCCCCATGATGCTTTGCAATCAACAAGATAAAGCTTGTCTTGTCCGTCCAATCTTTACTATAAGACGAGTAAAGAAGCACTCCTTGTATCAAGGAATGTTAGAATGATTTCCATTAGATGTGCCTGAGGGCTGATTTAGTTACCTGTGGAGAGAACAAGGCCAGGCTGCCGGCCATATTTTTTGTGCTATGCTAAGCTAACTGTCTTCTGAAGCTTGCTTTATATTTATCTTACACACATGGGAGTTGTGTCGATCTTCTCATCGAACTATTGCGGTGAAAGGACGTTTACCAAATTGACAAACTCATATTTTAAAGAATTACAATTCCAGATGCAAACCATGTTTGAATTATAAATTAAAATGAAACATTAAGAGCCTGTATAAAATGTGAAAGTAATGTTTTTCATGCCTAATAAAATACAGTAAAAAGAAATCTTTCAAAAGTAGTAAAATTAGAAATCTGTCTTAGTCTACCTGAAAGAGGAAAGAATCTGATGTGGAGCTTTTTCAATAATGTGTTTATTTTTGAATGACCAATGATCAATAGGATATACATCAAATGTTGAACTTTCCCTTTTTAAAAGGTAAATAATCATGTGTTCAACTTTACTGTACAGTTTGTAGAGTGAGTTACCGGTACATCCAAATCCATGCCTTTATCTATCTATTGTACGTCAACGGTAGTAAAAGCTGCACTCAGTGTATGTCACATCTGGATTTAAAATTTTCAGTTATAATTTTTTTTCTGCCCAGTGTTTTATTGTAATCGTACAATAGCTTAAGATTTTGCTGTTATACAATCATTACAGAATGAGAAATGTGATTCATGATCAAGCTCATACAGTGTGTGTTTGTTGGTTTAACAATTGCTGAGTGCATATGTGTACGTTTTGTTTTGATTGCAATTTTAGGGCTGATTGATTGCTGCAATCGCTTTGCTTTCTATGAGCACAAAGCAGATGCACACAGGTGATCTGTGACAAATGTGTTTTATGTTTAAAGGGTTCCTCTCAAGCACAGAACGGGGAGATCGACCTGTGCTCTGTATCCTGTCACATGTGGCTCCCCAATCAGACAGGTGCTGAACTTTAGAGACACTATGTTAGAAAAGTTCACCCTTTGCACACTTAACACCTTTTGTTGGTATCCGTTTTTTAAGGAGCAAAGCACCTCCTGGAGCTCAAATCTAGCCTCTCCTTAATTTCAAACATTCATTTACTATCGGACCTGCATTGTCCACAACTGACAATATTTCTCCTCCCAGTAATACAGCTGAACTGATGGTGCTTGCATACATGACTAGGTGTGTCTTTGTGTAAAGGTGAAGTTCAAAATATTGGGAAAAGTCATTAATGTGTTTCTTTTCAAGAAGATACTTCTTCCCGGTTCTCCTGCTGCAGCCAACCGAAAGTTGGCCCTGAAAGTAGTGTTGTAGGACTAGAAATTGGTCTTGGTCTCAAGACCGGTCTATGGTCTCAACTCGGAATCAAAAGTATTTTACTCGGTCTTATCTCTGTGTCGGACTGAGCGGACTCCGGATTTTAAATCAAGACCGATCAAGATCACCACTGATTGGCTGTTTTTCCACATCATTACTGTGATTAGAAGAAAAAAACGCCCCCTTCTGTATGTCTTGGTCTCGGTTAGGTTGGTCTTGACTACAACACTACCTGAAAGAGTGAAAACAAGAGTAAACAGCTGGTATAGCTCTGTCCAACATGCAAGCATCACTAATACTCACTAATCAACACTTTGTATCTTTGTGTTTATCTGTACCAAAAACCTAAGTGTATAAAGGACTGTTTTTGTGTCATGCTTTGATAATTTGTGAATTACTGAGCATTAGAGGTGCTGAGCGGGAGATCTTTTCAGGATTGGACAGAGCAAGACTCCATGTTTCTCTGTTGTCACACTTAATGCTAAGCTAACTGTGTGGACTAACTGTAGCTTCCTCTTTATGGTAGAGAAATGAGAAGTTGTATGTTTCCAAAAAGATTAGATCATTTCTTTAAATTGAGTTATCAACTAGGGATTGCTGATGTCAGCATAATTCTGATTTCATATTTTAATGACAATCATTATTAATTATTTTTAATGATACTGTAAAAGGCACTTTCAAGATTCACCAGGTTCTGTAATGTGTTAGTAGTATATAACAATTTGTTTTTACATTTGAACCTCTCTAAGGTTATTTTAAACTAGAACCAGTCCACATTTTAGACTGCAAGTCTTCAGTCCAGAGCTGCACTGTGCACATGAATCAAGACTTCTTTTAGCTGATGATACTGCCGTTCAGTTTTTTTTTTTTTTTTTTCTTCTACTGCCAATCAAACCTGTCCACCCCTGCATCTTTCTGCCATGTTTTGTTTGTCTTTGCACATCAAATGTCAGCTGTATGTGAAGGATTTCCTTGCCTGTGGATCTTCTCTCTTGAGCTTTTCAATGCCAGGATTTCTTAAGTAGAGCTCAAACCGAGGGAAAAAAAAAAAAACTAATTCAGTTGTGTGACCCAAATGATGACTCTTTGTGGCGAGGTGGCCAAGGGACTGCAACAGAAGATGAGAGAGGAGAGCAACAGTGTGTTTTCTTTCTAATGTACTTACAATAGAGAACCTCCTGTGTGTCGGTGTGAAGTTGAAGTGTGTCGCCGTTCTTCCAGGTGAAGATTGTTAACACACACAATACTCTTTTTTTAACGCAGCAGCCCCAAAGGAAACAAAAGGATTTGAGCTAAAACGGATAAAAAAAGGTGAAGACAATGACTGGATCACAATCAAATTTTACATTACGTCCGTATGTGTGGTGTGTGTGTTTTGTGTGTGTGTGAGTTCTTTTTTTTCCCAAAAGACGATTTGAATTTTTCTTTTTTTATTCCGCTGGACATGAACCTGCCAGAGAGATTACTTATCAGTGGGAGAAAAAAAGATGATAAGATACAAAAAAAAAAAAAAAAAAAAAAAAAAAAAAGCCTTGTTACAATGTGGGAGAGAACTGCCAACAAGTACTGCTGATCGGGGCCTATTTTATTCAGTGCTGGTGTGTTGTTGTGCTTGTACATATATGTCTTTTCAATCATCCCTTTTTTCCTCTTGGGGGTGGGGTATCAAGGCTGGGGGTGGGTCTTATCAATGAAAAGAGAGGAGGTAAAAGAATAGAGTATTTTGTTATTGTCCAATCAGAGGGTGACAGTATGTATATATCTATATTGTATATATGTGATGAAAATGCGTCGGCTTTTTGTGTGACACTACCTTTTACCTGTACTATGGTTCTACATTCAGTGTTTCAGTGTTGATAATATATATTTGGTTTGTTTTTTTGATTTTGTCTTTGTCATTTCTTGTATTTTTTTTTTCTCCTACTTGTCCTATTTTTGTTTATGCACGGTTTATTACTTTTGTTGTCCGATGAGGTGACACAGCTACTCTTTGTATTCGTTTAGTGCTGTAAAATAACTCAAGTGTTATTAGAATTGTCGATACCACCGCCCACCCCACCCCTGTCCCCAATATGCATGAATGGCACTTAAAGAAATAAAATATGGTAACTTCACTGTGGATTAATGTGCTGTTTGAGCTTTGTTCCTGAAGCTTTGTGTCAATATGACATAGGAGGTTATCGTTTTTAAGTCTCACATCATCTTCAGTACAAATAATGGCTGTCCAAAAACAGAGCAAGGAAATTACTTAGAAACAACTTTCCCATTATAATGTTGTCCAATTTTCTTAAACTCTTTACTGTAAAAATCATACAGCAACGTGAGAAGTAAACACAGAAAATACACATTAGGACTGATGGAAGTTCACAATCATTTGGTACAAAATATATACAGTAACGGCCCCAATAATATGCTGAGTAATCTTTAAAAGCACAGCATATGTATTTATGTGCCCACATAAAAACTGAGACACTGCTTACGGCACTACGCTGATACAAACTCATGGTGACATTTTCCATGCCTTTCCATGCTTTCTGGCTCCTATTTCAGGGAATAAATAATATCCAAGCAATTAGCATTATGAAGTACAGGTCACCTGGTTTACAGTTGATATCACCTGTAATGTGAGATATACTCATTGGCTACTTCAAAAATGCAGACACAAGTTTTCCCATATTATGTGATATCTCCCAGCTAATGGAAAAAAGCAGGAGAGACAACTAGGGACAATACTCATGATTATTTTAATGATTTAGTTCAGTCTATTAAATGTCATCATGATTCCCCACATCCCAAAGGCATGTCTTCACATAGCTTCCTTTGTTTTTTTCATATTTGACAAAGAGAAGCAACAACTATTATATATAAGGTGCTTACAGAAAAAAAAAATTGGGTTAAAAAGGCTAAAATGAATAATGGATTATATAGATAACTGGAAATTATTTTTATTTAATTCCATTTATCAATCAATAAATTTATTGTTGCAGCTCTGATGTGAAGGAATCCAGTGATAATGTAGTACAACATGCTGTGGAAACTGATGTACAGCATTTCTGAGTTAGAGTTCAACATTATTCAAAGCTCAGGTGTTGATGTGAGTATTCCATGATGTATAACCATTTTAAAAACGTAATTAAATGTTACTCAATGTTTGTTTTTACTTCTATTTTTTTTTTTTTTTTTTTTTTTTTAGATCTGTTCAACAAATTCATGTATCCAATGAGCTTATATTTCTGGTGCACCATTTGCACAGAGCCAACTGCTCATTGTTAATAGAGTAAAGTGAAAATTGAGATTTAGTTAATTCTTGAAAAAGGAGTTCCAACTCTTTCCAAAAAAAAAAAGAGAAAAATGTGTATGAACTTCTTTTCACTGCCCTGTGGGAAAGAAAAAGTCACCAAAAATAGGTTGCTGTAAATACTTCTTTGTATAGTGTTGTGGAGCTGTCAGAAAGATACATGATAATGTAGGTTGATATTTATTTGTAACTCTGTCTCACAGGTGACACTTTAAGCAGTTTTAAGTTGCTATTCTGATTGGTCTCAGATAAGGAATGACCTCTGTAGTCCTGGTGCCCTGAACAGGTCCATATGATCCCCCAACATGCTTCTCTTTTCCCCCACCCAGCCCTGGAAGCCCCCACCCAGTGCTCCCATATGGTGTGTCACTTCAGCATGTGTCCACATGACACCTTACATGCATGATTCAGCCCTGTAGGATATACCTTCCCAGTAGGGACACCGTTCTGTTTGCTGCTCTGGAACCATTCAAAGATTTTCTCAGGCTCTAAGGAAGGGGAACTAAACTGATGGACATCATGTTTAAAGCTTCCTCTCTGCTCCTGCTGACACTGCTCCTGAATGTTCAGCTATGCTCACCTGCACCAATACGTAAGCAGTGCATTTATTCTCTAATATTTATATATGAGAATTATTGATCACAATGATTAGAAATGTGGTCATTGATTGAAACTCTCTCTTTAAGGTATATTTTACAGATTTATTTTTTGGCTTTTTATCTCTTTATTAGGACATTGGATAGAGTCAAAAATCAGGTGGAGTAGGCTACAGAGCCACAGGTCAGATTTTTACCAGGGCTGCTCGCTTTAAGGACTGCAGCCTCTGTGCATGGGGTGCAAACTTGCCACAAAGACTATGCCACTGGTATCATTTAAAGAAAATACAATATTATGATATATATAATTGTGATTTTATCTAAATTAGAATAACAAATTGATCTAATGACCACAAAAATGAACTAACTTTTTTATCAGGACATTCAATTCCTGGAAAATAAAGGTTTGATGAAGCACAATAGGATGTTAAAATAAATATATTTTTTTATAGGATATAATATTTTGCCATATAAATATTGTTAAGTAAGAATGAAACAGTTTGGGTACTCTTAATTATCAGGTAAATTCCTGTCTTGTGTTTTTTTCAGTCGTTTTTTCTTGACCAAGTCACAGATGTTTTGAGCTAGAGTTAATCAATATGCATATGTGCTTCAAAATGATTTAAATGAAGCTGTTTCTTACTTCAGAGGCATGTTAGAAGAATGCATAAGTGTGTTTTTTTAACAAAGTGAACCTGTGTTTGTTGTTACATAATAGGTTGATTGTGAGTCAACAGAATCAAAGACAGGAAATGTCAAGTACAGCTTTAGGTGCTGTAAAGCTTTGAATAATAAAAATATGAATCAGTTTGGAAACTGACTCAGTCACCAAGCTAAGTCGAGCATAATACTCCTGTGTCTGAAAGCGTGGATGTAAGTAACAAGCAAACTTATCTTAAAATACTTTCATGGCCTGTTCAATGACACACCTGTACGGGTAGGATACTACTCTGTGGGATATTTGGACTAAAGTTGGATCTGTACACATCCTCCATGTTTGTGTCATGTCACTAGAGATCTTGTTAGCCGTTACATAATGAGCCATCGTCATATTTGATGCCATTTTCAGAGATAAAGTGTACTGTACCTTGTGAAAAAGCTCAATGAGCCTAACTGGGAGATTACTCAGAATACTAAGAACTCCAAGGAGTGATACAAAATTTTAAAAAATGAAAGTGCAAAAAGTATAAAACTACCTGCATAAAAATGTCTTCATTTAAGGAATTCAAGTGACCCTTGTAAAATTCAAAATTTGAATTTTGAAGTGTTTTAATTAATAACTTAGACACTACTCGATTATCCTGCTGATGAAGTTATTGCTAATTTGAACACTTATATTGCAGCTTCCAGAGCTTGTAAGCCCTCAGTTGTTGCTAAAAAACTGGCGCCAGTAACAGAAGATCACAGTGACTTTAAAAAAGATGAAGAATCTATTCAGGAGAAACAAATTTCAGTTGTTGCAGAACAGGCACCTCCATTGCCTGAAGATTCACCTGTTGAAGAAAACATTCCAGAACCAGAATTTGGTTTGATCGAAGATCAGGTATCTGAAGGAGAAGCTGTTTTTCAGGAATCAGAACCTGGGGAACCTTTGGCTGCAGTTCCACAAGATTCTTCCGAACAAGAAACTGTCCCTTTAGATGAGGCTTCCCCAGATGAAACAGAACATAGTCATCAAGATGATCCAGCTCCAGAATCGCCAGTCCCAGTCTTACCTTTGGACACTTTAGAAGATGAAGGTCCTGAAGAAAAATCAGAAGAAACTGCTATTGCTGAAGATGGTGATGTCCAAATTGCATCTACAGAACATAATGGTTTGGAGGATCCAGCTCTAGACGCACCGGTCCCAGTTGTTCTTTTGGAGGCGTCAGAAGATGAAGCTCCTGAAGAAAAGACAGAAGAAACTGATGTTGCTGAAGATGGTGATGTCGAAATTGCATCAGTAGAAGAGAATGGTTCGGAGGATCTAGCTCCAGATGCAGGCATCCCAGTTGTTCTTTTGGAGGCGTCAGAAGATGAAGGTCCTGAAGAAAAAGCAGAAGAAACTGCTATTGCTGAAGATGGTGATGTCCAAATTGCATCTACAGAACATAATGGTTTGGAGGATCCAGCTCTAGACGCACCGGTCCCAGTTGTTCTTTTGGAGGCGTCAGAAGATGAAGCTCCTGAAGAAAAGACAGAAGAAACTGATGTTGCTGAAGATGGTGATGTCGAAATTGCATCTACAGAAGAGAATGGTTCGGAGGATCTAGTTCCAGCCATCTCAGTTGTTCTTTTGGAGGCTTCAGAGGACAAAGCCACAGCGGAAAACACAGAAGAAGAACCTGTTGAAGCTGTGTCCAAAGAAGAGCATGGTGAACCAGCTAGTGTTGCACCAGTCCCCTGTATTCCTGTAGAGGTTTCGGAGGATAAAAAGGCAGCAGAACAATCTGCACCAGAACAATCTTTACTTATAATCCCTGTTGACATTGCTCATGTAGAAGAAGAACCTATTCCTGTGACACCAGAAGAAAAGGAACCTGCTGCAGAACTTGAGACAGAGGAGGCTGGTCAAGAGGAGCCTGCTGCAGAGGAATTGGTTCCAGAAGAGTCAGCCCCAGAAGATCCAGCCATCATTGTTCCATTGGATTCTGCTAAGAAGGAACCTGAGCTGGAAGAACAAGTTGAAGAAGAATTGATCACTGCTGCTGTGGAGGAAACAGCACCAGAGGAGTCAGCCCCAGAAGAACCTGCTTTGTTCCTTCCAGTCGAACCAGATGAACAGAAGCCAGATCAAGAGATACATGAGGAAATGGTCCCTTTAGTTGTTTCAGAAAAAAAAGAAGAGGAAGCTCCAAAAGAACAAGTTGAAGAAGGAGAAGATCTTGCCCCGGTAGAGCTGGAAGAAACCGATGCTGAGGTGGACCCTGCTAGTAACAAAGAACCCCTTCCCAGCACATTAGAAGAGGAGGAACCAGCTGGCCTCCTTCCCGCTGAGCTTGAGACAGAAGAAGAGGGTCAAATGGAACCTGCTGCCGAGGACACTCAACCACAAGAGTCAGCCTTAGAAGATCCAGTTGTCATTGTTCCTTTGGATTCAGCCGAGGAGGTTCCAGAGCTGGAGGAAGATAGTGAAGAACTGATTCCCATAGTCTTACCAGAAGAACCAGAAGAAGAAACTCCAGAGGAGGATATAGAATCAGAGGCTGCACTGGTGCCTGTCCCAATTGTCCCAGAAGAAAATAT